TATATTTAGCATGCAAATAATGAAACTAAAAAAATTAAAACAATTATCTTTCAATCAATCGAAATGAATGTATCACAAGAAAGAAGAAAAACAATGTTTAACGACTGTGTGCCATTTGCTCATAATATAGGCCTAATAATGTTTTTTTAGGGGTAGATTTGGCACGGGCAGTTAGATGCCTGGTTTCTTCAGGGAAGAGAGTTATGAGGGGAAAGTTTGTATAGAATGAATTCTTTTCTGGAGAAATTTTACTGGTATATCCAGGCATCAGCTTGCTAACACTGTTACCTGTCGGTCTCTGACCAGGTCCTACAGTACATTGTTGTAATATTTAAAGCATATTCTTACCAAAATTAGCGATACTTAACGACAGAAACATCAAACTAAACATACACGACTTTGGTATTGACATCGTTTTTGAAATATCACAAAAAGTAATCTCAGCGATTGTTTCAAGCACATGCTATTCAAACATCGAGCTAGGTACACGTCTGTTAGCAGGAAATGCTTAAAACTTTACCCAAGGGTAAGAGTTACACGTAGTCAACTCACGATATTATAATGTCACTGTTTGCTATAGAAATTTCTATAATATCCCGTTGTTCGCTTGACTGAAAATCATCAAAGGAACTCGGATAAACGTCATTTATCCAGAGTACGAATTCTATAACAATCCATTATTGTCATATCTGTGGAATGCTTAGTATACTTAGACCTGTCACGGGGAAATGGCTTCGCGACCTAGGGTCAATTTAACAAAATGAAGGTATCGGACACAGATTCATCATATGATATATTACGTGTATTCATATCAGAAATACAATTGTCACTGACGTTACGAAAAAGCCAAAGTTTTATGTTAATCTTTTCTTTATTAACATTATATATATATATATATATATATATATATATGCCTGTATAACAACGGCGTGCTTCAACAACATTGTTTTTTTCTAAATGCTTCATTTGGTTTTTTTTTTTTTTTTCTTAAATTTGAGGGTTTGGTGCGGCGATTTCCATTCAGGTTCTGAACCTCGTTGTGGAAGGTTCGAACCATTCTCCGTCGACCATGCTTATTTACCCCCAGCTTGTACTCGTGACAGGTTGTGAATTAGCTCACGATGTTTCAGCCCTAGGTCTCAGTATTTCATGGCTTATAAATTAAATAAATATTGTGGCCGCCTCTCATGAATATTGATGATCAGGCCTGATCTACGAAGATATACAAAATAGATATTATATGGCTGTTATACTTTATGATTTGTTTTTATTACTGTTCTACACACCTTTTTCTTCTTCTTCTATTAGTCAGTACCATTTTATATAATTGTTCTTTAGTTTTGTTTTGTTTTTTTTTTTTGTTTAAAAAAAAATAAATTGCTACTTTTGGTTTGTTATTGTACCTTTGATTTATACTCCATTTCCTTGTATTTGAAACACCTTCTACAAAACATGATAAACTTCCTTTACCCTATCTGAAGTTACGGGTTGAATGTTAAATTAATTGCACATTGAATACTTAGTCACTGATTGAATTCTGAAGTTGCAGATTAAATGCTAAAGTTAATAATTGAATGCGGAAATTCAAAGATACAAGATATATTTATTTGTCAAACTGTACAACTTGATTCACATGACACAAAAATCTCTGAGGCTTGGAACTGAAATTATGTATTGAATGTTAAAGCTGCAAAGTAAATGCTAAAATAAACACGGGCATTTTAAAAGCTAAAAATGCAGAATGTATCATAATTGTTAGTTGGCTAATTTGTTTGTTTAGTATTTATTTGTTTATTATACACTTTAAACTGCTGATTGAACTCTATTGGAATGTAGAGTTGCGTATTAAACTAAGGTTGCAGATTGAATGATGTAGTTCCAGTCCGGTAATCGTCATTGCTTGTCTGCACCTACATTCAGCTCCGCAACTAAATTATAAAACGTTGTGTTGTCTTTTGGTTTCTGAACATTTCGTTCGGCTAACTGTATAAGACGCCTCTCGATTATAATTAAAGCTTCGTTCTTCATTCGCTCTTTTTCTTTTATCTCTTGATCCTCTTTCAGCTTCTTCTTGGCCATTTTGGTGGCATTTTTTCTGTAATTCAAACACGGCATGGAATGAGCATAACATAAACGACTCACTTTAGCAATGTTCAATATATAGCAACAATTGTAATGTGTGTGTCGATATGTGTAGGTGTGGGCGTTTTAGATGTGTTTAAACGTGTCTATTGTATCATGTGAGTAGTTTAGGCTTCTTGTATTAAACAAACGGCTAATTGATATTCTCATATTTATACAGCAAAACATACATGTTCGTTGTGCACTACACGTATGTATGCCTTACTAGATAAAATTATGTTGTCACTATATCGTAGACGTATGTTTCAAAAGTATATTCATTTAAATAAGAGCTTTTTGAAAATTTCTTCTACTGCTTTACGACCTAGGTGTATAAATTATACTATTTGGGTCATTACAGTAATTGAGACTTATTCATTTTTTGTTCTGATAAAGTCAAATAAATTTTAGTATTGTCATCATACCTTTTACGTCTTGGACAGTACCACATCTGACAGAACATGTTGAGGGCCACTGTTACTACAACAGAACCAACACCCATCGCTATCAATGCATCTATAGACAAGATAAACTACAATGTCATTTATCGAACAGACTTATTAATATCTTTTAAAAATCATTACGTAGATGTTTAGCTAGATAGATGTAAATAACAAGGGACTAAACTGTTATTGATTTGTGAAAAAAAAGTTAAATATCTTACATAGTCTTATACAAGAAGAGCATTCAGATTTTTCAACATGGCAAGTCAGAGGTGGACCGGAGCAAGAAATGTTCTTCTCGTATACTTGGACGTCGCAATCATGTTCATAGAGTAGATGGCCGTAAATAAGCGTTTTGCAATTCAGAACTTTACCTGAGCCCCCAACATTATATACGTAATTTGTAGTTGCAGTTGAGACGTAAACAAGTGCAGTAAACGCTGCCGTTTGCAAGTATGAATGTACTTTATGTCTTGTTTCTGGTTTCAGTGGGACGGTGATTAAGCAATAATCCGAGTCCGTCATCGATGTTATTTCAAAGTCCAAGTTAACATCTAGTGGATCATCATCAAACGTAATATGGGATAGTCCATAGCAGAGTGTAGATATTATGGCTTTGCTTGTATTGGATCCTGATGGAGTCTGAATATACGTTCTAGAAATATATTGTCCAACTGGTTTCACGGGTATGTTTAAGATCGGATCACTCTGAGCGATTTGATTTGGAGAATTATGAAATGATGAATTGTCATACATCGACATAGTGACAAATACTGGGTTCTCTGAGGTCAACGTAAATGGATGTATTACTTCGACCTCAAAGGAATTGCCTGCTTTAATAACTATTTGATTGCCCCAATAATAAAGTGTATTGTCATATTTGAGAGAGAATATTTTAACGAAGGTTCTATATTTTTGTTTATCTAGAAGTGGATAAACTGTAAATGTTTTACCCCAGTGAGAATAATCAATGAGTGTATCAATCAAATGTTGTATTCCTGTCAGTGTGTCTTCACCGCTAAGCATCAGAACGACGGGATTCGTTGAGTCTACGTGGGTATGTTGTAGGTCTATTGCAGTAAACATGCAAATTCGTTTTATTTCATCCTCTGTGAAATTAATAATCCTACTCTTACCCACGACACCTTGTTCTATATCTGTTGATATTTTAACTTGTGTATAATTTTGAAGTGACAGTATGTCCAAACAGAACGCATCTACATTGTAATCTCTTGTATCGTAAAAGTGGTACTCTTTTCCAGCAGACGAAACAAGTTGAATTTCAATTGATGGTTGTGATGGTTGAAGGGATACATATGGGCGAATGTCATCGGATGTGCGAATATGGATTGAGATTGCATCGTTAGTGAGGTTTGATCCGTGCAATGCGTCGTATAATACAAATGTTGCTTGTGCATATACTACAACGGATTCATCAAGGCCAACTGCGGGTACTGAAACGTTCGCAACACCGACAACTTCTCCCTCATTCAAAAACACGATGTTTGGTAACCTCTCGTTCACGGCGGGAATGAAAATCGGAAATCTGTACTCATTACTACCTTTTAAAGTAAAAAGGCACAGAATCAATAACCAATTAACTACAGTAAATAAATCTGAAAGCGGCAGACACATTTTTAAATACAATACAAAGCAAGGCATAAGGACATAAAGCAATGTCGATCTAGAAATCTTGAAATGGGGATGCTGATGGGGGCGCGAAGGTGAAGTAGGGAGAAGGGCTTGATGGTCAGTTAAGAAGCGGTAATTCGGAAAATAATGTGATTTTAGGTGCTTTTTAACTACTTTACTCTGATTTTTTTTGGGGGGGGGGCGATTGGGGGTAGAGAGTAATTTTTGGAGGGGCGTGTGCGCCCCACCCCGCGCACCCCAGATACGCCACTGAAAATTAAGTTTGCAACAAACATATTTAAACAGGTGGAAAAAATAGGCCTATAATTCCAATCTTACTAAAGATTCGTAGCCATACAAAGCTGACCCGCCCGTTAATTTTTTAAAAAGTTTAACACAAAATTGGACAATTACAATCTGTGCATTTCCAGCCATCTACATGTCTCATCAGCATAACAATATCCTGCCTCAGCTTAAACAATAATGGAAACTCTATCTGTAAAATTCAATCTATGGGTCTTCATCTGTATTTTGAAATACTAGATAGACCTACGTTATGGCCCCGAGTTTATCATACTGACTGCATGGATACTTACCGGTATGGACGGAAAAGCCAAGAAGAACACTATTGAGCAAACATACCAACTTGACGCTATCCATATTTACGATTGCATGTCTATAGTGAAGTCTCAATGTGTAGTGTTAGAGCAAATTCAGATTTCTATTACTATTTTGTTCATTTTAATCTACTGAACCGGAAAGTGGATCTGTGTGCTTTGTTGTACTCTAGGCCTACAGTGTATGAAAGCTCGGTAGATTCAATCGTTGCAAACAAATTGTATGCCTATTCTGTATTCGGGTCAGTAAATCAAATTGTTACTAATTGTTTCGTAGAGGTTCAAAGTTAAAACTCTGGTTTTAAAATGACGTCACCAAAACAGTTTTTGCGTTGGTTGATCAGTCTGTGATTTAAGCTTTATGCAGTGCGTTGGTACGACCAGGGAACAGTGAAATTTTACTGTTCCCTGGTACGACGCAAATTCTGGTGGTCGACGACACCGACACCGGTTCTGTAGTAAATACTAATATAGCTGAATTGTTGAATTCGCCTTCAGAGAACTAGCCTTAGGCATATCGCATTTTAAAGGGATAGGCCTAGACTAAGTTCAAAGACGTTTTGTAGCCTTATTAGACAACAATTGTAGTTACATTATCAATTATAGAAAAAAATTCATCTAGAGTCTGCAAGATTGTGCAATATATTATGCACTCGATTATTCTATTTTTGCCCAAAATTGCACGAATCGTGAACACGAACATTCGACGAGTTTGGTGTTGTTCCGAAAGGTAGTGAAGCCTCCCAGTGGGACTATCAAACAGAATTACTGTACTAATTGAGAATCCAATTCTCCACTGACTTTATTGCGCAATAGGCGACGTAAAGCAGATGAGAATTGCTTATGACGGAACACGTAGATGAACGGATTAACGGCCGAACCAATACATATAAACAGTTCCGACATCAAATCGTACCAGTACATCTCAGAGCGTTGAATGAATAGAATGATAAAAACTTTGCTAGAATAAGGCAAGTAGGCAGCAATGAAACAGCAGACCATCAAAGCACTTGTTTTAGCCGCTTTAACATTCTTCTGAACAGTTGTTAGTGTGCCGACTGTATTCTGAGCGGTTATGGTGTTTCTGTGCTTTCTTGCTTCCATGAAAATACGGAAGTACATTTTGATCAATAAGAACATACCGGTCGGGAACATTATCAAAATCATGTAACGTTGAGCTGCAATACTTTGGTAACAAAGGAATATTCCCTCGCCCTTCCAAAGCAACTGCGTGAAGCTAAATGCACTGGCTGTAATCCAGGAGAAAATGATGGCACAGAAAACTCGGGTCTGAGTAACTATTTGTCTATATTTTAATGGTTTTATTATAGAAACGTACCGGTCCGTCGTAATAAAAAGAAGGTGGAAAAACGACGTAACAAGACATATTTTCAAAGGAATGTATAGTAAATTACAGCTATCAATCTTAATGTAGTCGTCTCCCCGCGTAACAAGCGCCAACACGTACAGGGGGACGGCGATGATCCCCGTAAGTAGGTCAACTAATGCTAAGCTCGCAATCAAAGTGAACTGCAGCACTTGTAAACTGGGAGTTTGGCGAATAAAAATAAGAACAAAAGCGTTTCCACAAATGATCACCAAGTCCAACGGTGTACAAATAGTTAAAATAAATATCAAAGTATCCCTCATTTCGTATGTTGTTATGTTTCGAGTGTTAATGATCCCTTCCATTTTACAGACGGAATGAATCAGATTTAATAATGACTACTGACCTCAACTCTACATGAAAGCTGTCAATGAAATCAAAAAAGACTGACTGAGCTAATGATACAATCATGACCTGAAGTCATAATTAAATAATATAATACATTGTCTTCATAACAGAAGAAATACAATGCTAAAATATGGGTATTAAGATGTTTGATCACTCATTCTCAAAATAGACTTTACGTACAGTATGTGGAATCACGATTCAGTAGGTGTGTATCAAAGAGAGGAGTAATGAAAGCAAAGTAAAACAAAAATACGTTCAAAATGAGGACTTAGTAAAACTAAACCACGTCAGTCAACAAGAGTGAGGGTGAAAGATTATAGCAATTGTAAATGTAGGCCTATGAGGAGGTAGGTGAATATGCAGATTGGTATTGATTTATAGTTGTTCTTATTGAGTTTGATCACAATATTGTTAAATTGTTATTACAATTAGTGGTTGATATTTATTACATCATTTGATAATGGTACACTAGTGGTGGAATTTTATTACATTAGTGGTTAACATAATCTAATAAAAGTCCAACCACTAATGTATCATTAACGACATTACACAACAGTATGACTTTTTATGGGCTTGAAAATTCGTAAGATAATAGAAACGTTGAAAATAAAAAACATATTGATTTGTCGTTTAAATGAAAAATCAAAATGGTCAGTCAGATTGTTTACCATTGTTTTAATTTCTTCGTTTCTACTTTATTTTGACGTACAATGCTTCCAACAATAAACGGTTTTACTAATAATTTGTCAACATTTTGATGATCATTCAGTACATTTTTTACCACCGTTATCAAGTAATAAAACTTGTGTGAACTTCAAATTATTAAGCCATGTACAGACTATCAAATTGTATTTGACAAAAACATGCGACATGCCTAAATACGGTCATGATGACATCATAATCATGATCATATACAGGCAGGTACATCATGACTGTAAAGCCGGGTACTCAATGCGTGTGACGGCAACGCGACGATGAACGCAAGCGACGGCGCGGACCTAACGGATCTTTTTTTTAATGAGGATCCGTTCAGACTGCCACTGAAAAATCAGCAGAGGGCGTTGTGTCGTCTATCGCTCGCCGGAAGCAGAGATGCATTCGTCGTGTGACGGTCATACGACCGTTGCACGACGCAGTGAATGCCCGGCTTTACGGGCATACAATAGTTGTTTGTCAAGGAATATATGATAATGTGGACAGACATTTATGCCCGGAGTTTATTTTTTCATTCATTCAGTCATTAATCCATACACGTGTAGTATTAATTCTTTCGTTCACCTTTCCGCCCTACATTAATTTTTTTTAAATAAATTACATCTTACCGGCTATGGTTGCAGTGAAATGGCATTATAGTAAAACTCTATTAAGAAAACCAAGAAGATTAAAACAATATATATCTAACTTTCACATTTGCAATGGTAAATGATCGTTTAAAAGATTTTCTTGCTCAATTTTCCAACTGCACAAATTTGACAAACTCTGCATAACATAGTCTTTTAGTTACCACATCCTAAGTATTACAGCCTACGTACAGTAGGTTTCTGCTCTATTCTCTCAAAATGTATTGTTTACTTGTATAAAAAAAAAACGACAAAGGTTCTTAAATAGTGTTCATGGAAACTAATATTTGTATTTTAGTCCCAGTTATATTGAATAAATTCTCACATTGGAGAGAACTAATCTAGCATAATTTATTATTAATATTGTCTTTTTTCCTACCACTCCATAGTTCTACTTCTAACATTCAGGAAGTTCCTTAAGAATTTTGAAGGGAAGGAATATTATAAAACTACTTCAAGTCTTCTTTCTGGTTTAAACGGTACGGTGATTAGGAAATAATCTGAGTCACTTATCGATGTTATTTTCACATCTAAGTTAACGCCTGTAATGGAGACAGACCCCTTCCTTCCAAACCCTATTTTCTTTGGTGCTATGCACTTCTTAATAAGCTAAAAATCTGGTAATTGTATTCAGATGTTTTATACAAGCTTAGAGTTCCCTTTCACTAAACGAATAATAAAGATTTACTTTAACAATGACTTTGGATTTGAAAAAAGGGATATGCCTGGGACTTGAGAAAAAATGACAATCAGCTTGCTGCAATTTTAAAATTTTATCGTTTCAGATTGATTAAAGTACAGCTACATTCATATTTATAACTGTTAGAATAGCCTACACAAACAGCCGGATACTCACCTTTTAAGTATTCAGAGCCTTCAGTCTTTTACACAAGCATCATGCTTATGGGACTTTAATAAATAAAAAAAAAAAAAAAAAAGGAAACAATTAATTTTACAATCAGTTGAATTCTATATACGGCATACGGAGAATTTAAAATTCCAACATAAAATGTTTAAACAGTACTAACAGTATATACAAACAATATAAATACAAAATATAAGCCTGAAAGAAAACAATTAATTAATTAATTAATGACAGAGCATGATGAGTCTACAATAGCAATGTCACTAGACGTGTGGGTACACATAACAACTGATTCCACTTCAAGAATATTTTAGAATCACATACCAGTAGTAGGGTATCCATTTTTGGTTCGTATTCTGTCCCAAATTCATTACACTATGGTGTGCTCCAAGGTTCAGTTATTGATCTCTTTTTATTCAGTTTCTACATTTGTCCAGGCATTATGTCATTCAATTCACCCGATTCTGCAATGAGTTTGGATCAGTGGGTGACGTCACCACTCGGTATGCCTATGCGATAATACTGAAGAGAATGTTATTAATTGGCTAGTTGGCTAACAACGGCCATTAATAACCAATGACGAATGTTAACAAATAGTCAGTTGCATGATTTCTAAGCAGATAACAATTGCTTATGTATTAAACCGAAAGGTCCACTGATTAATCTCAGATAAGAAAGTATAATACATACTCCAAGTATTGAAATACACGTCATCGTGTTGGGATTCAATATTTCGACATTAATTATGTCATCAACATCATTCAAGGAGTTATTTATACAAACTAAAAATAATAAAACGGCTAACAGAGTTCCCTGGGGGACTCCTCCTGTAAGAGTGGTCCATTCTGACAGAACACCCTTATAGGTAACTCTTTGCTTTCTTTCAGAGATAAAGTCAACAATCCACTGAACTATTTCAGGTTGGGCCTCCATGTTTAAAAGTTTTGTGATGGCAGTGTTGTGGTCTACCAAATCAAAGGCCTTGGAGAAGTCAGTCAGTACCAGTGTACTGGTAGTGGCTGGCCTCTCCAAGGCACTCATAACACTATGATAGATATCAACTAGACAGTGGGTGGTAGACACCCCTTTCTGATTACCATACTGCCGTTTGTCTAATTTGGTTTTAATACATTCAGTTAAGATTTTTGCAACCCGCCCTTCTGCTACCTTTGCCAAAATTGAGGTAAGGGAAATTGGTCTTAGTTTTGAAATAGTAGCAGGGTACTGTTTAGGGACCGGAACTACATTAGCTTCCTTCCACTGTGTGGGTACCTTTGCCTGGGCTAATGAGGCATTAATTAAGTCTGTGACTGGGACACTCAGTGTCATGTTACAGGTATACATCTGTCAGTAGGGGACACATTTATTAAACTTTATAGAGTAGCTATTGACTCGCCAGCAAATCTCAACTCACAAGCATCTAATGTTAGTAGGGCAGTTTCATCTTAGAAACTTACGATTATTCAAAATAAGGACACCTGCCAGGGCACTGATTTTTTCAAGACTGGAATACTGCAATTATCAGGATAGTGGTCTGTTTAAAAGAGATTTACACTCTGCAGAAATTTCAAAATTCTGCTGCTAGACTCATTTTTGTCTTGTAAGACACGCACTCATACCTCTCCAATTATTTGCGAACATCATTGGTTGCCTGTCCAAGAAAGAATTCAATTTCAACTTTTTGTTTTATTGGAGTTTCTTTTCCTTCTCTTTGTTTTCAAATCACTCCCTGGCTTCTGCCCTTTGAAATTCCGATTACCTAATACTACGTGCGCATGTGCGCTTAAAGCCCCATTCCCGGCAAAATTTCACTAAAAACTGACTTTTTTTAGAAATATGCATTTGCATTACTCCAATTATTATAAATCATGGAAAAATATTGACATGAATTTTAGTTTTACGCAAAAGAATAAAAAAAAAAGAGAAATACAGACTATTTCTCATAAAATATTACCATTTTCTCGACGAATTCATCGTTACTTGGCAAATTCAGAGGTGAAATCAAACATGAAAAATTCATCCGCATTTATTTTTTGTGTGGAACACAAAAGAAATCAAATTTCAGACTTTTTTTTTACATTTTTTCATTCTTAGGAATGTCTAAATTCAGTTAAACTAGCAATTCCGTATTATATTTATAAATCTTTATAACATTATTATACAAAAATTAGATTTTTCTTAACAACTGAAATTTTGCCGGGAATGGGGCTTTAACAAGATCTTCCAACACTATCCAACTTGTTCGGCAGGTACACCATAAACGGATTGGTGACAATTAATTTCCTTGAATTGCTGCCTAACTTTGGAATGGTCAGCCTATTTCTCTCAGGTCTTGCGATTCGCAGGCAGTTCAAAGCCCATCTAAAAACACATTTATTTTAATAGTTTCCCCTCACCTTGCATAAGATCACATTTGCTTATTGTTTAGTTTGTTTTCTTATTTTTCTATCGAAGCTTTTTGCTTCGAGTTAATGCTTTATGGCATTATTTAAGTTTGCACACTTGATTTGGGTTTGGTTTTATGCAAGCTTTACTCGGTAACCAAGGGCGTCGATCCGTGTTTGAAAGTGGGTGGGGGTGGGACGGAATGCAAAATAAGAAGGCCTTGGGCCGTAGGCCCAAGTCTTGGTCGGGGGCCAGGAGGCTGTCTAGGGCCCCGGTGAGGGTCCAGGGAGCGAAGCCCCCGGAAGCTCTGGCGCCTATAGCTTTTTATAAGTTGTATCTAATTGATTTTAAGGAATGCAATTAACATTTATTTCCACTTTACATTTTCAAAATACAGTGGCAGATCCAGGAATTTGAAAT